CAAAGCCCCCCTAATACAACAACTCCCGGCCCCCGGAATGTCACGGTTTCGGGCCCACAATTGAAAGTTAACTATTCACATTAGGGGTGGCTTTGGATTGTATTAGTCTTAATAGAGCCAAGACTACAGCAGTACTAAACCCAAAGGAGCAGGGCTTTAGGGTCTAGGGGTTTTGGACTTCGGTCAAGGTGTAGGGCTTAGGGCGGGATTGTCTACAGCCGGAACGGCGGCGTGATGGGCGGTCGTTGTGTCTGGCTCCTTATTACTCTCAATCCGACTCAGACCCGGATGCCCCGAAGCCCCCCCTAACAGAAAAACCCCGGCACCGAAATCCAGTTTGTTAATTAAGGGGAAAGGGGGGGGACTCTTTCATGTTAGGGGGAAGAGATTATTTGTGGTAGTAGCAATACTGGTTGTCGAAACAGTAGTAACAAGTAGTCGTCGATGTCGCCGTTGTCGTCGTCGTCGTAGCTGTCAGCCGCACCAGTAGCAGCAGGAGAAGTAGCAGCAATAGTCGTCGTCGGGAATTGTGTGTCCATGTGGCATAAGATAAACTGTATTCGTTTTGCATTCACAACGAAGTCTCTGGGCCCTTCAACTATGACAAACTATGACCCAGTGAAAGGTCCAGGATTTGATGGCCCTGAACACCCTCGGGCTCCACGCACACGAGACCGCCAAGCCAAAGGCTTCAACTTCGCAGCCTTGAGCTTGCTAAACTCTGACAAGAACACCCCGAACGTCCAGGGTTTGGGGTGGAGGACTTTCGTTTTCAGAACGGCGTACAGACTGTAGGGCTTGATGTTGAAATCATCCCTGCCATTTCTCTTCAGCTGCAGGCGGGAGAAGAAACCCTGCCAGTGTTTGGTGTGCCACTCACGGGGGATCAGCATCCAGGATGCGGGGTTTCGCAATGTGTAACGGGGTTTCCGGATTTGCCATGGTATTTCAGCACGGTGACCCCATCAAGTTAGAAACGCTAAACAGGGTCATCGATCCGTTTCAGCCAAAAAGTCCAATCATGGTTTTGTGGCATTGGATTGAGGTTGAAGGGTTTACATGCTGTTGCATGGTGATGGTTCACGGTTTTGGATTTGGTTTATCCTACCAAGAACAAAAGACCAGATTAGCCTTTCAGGGCCAGAGCACTCGAGCCGAATGCTATACAACTGCCAGGCAATCACCTGATGTGGCTCCGCTGATTCACTTTCACATCCACCAGGTTTTGAGCCAACATCACTCAACACTCTGTTCGCCAGGCTCTTCATCCAATGTGGCTAGACGGCTACCTTCCCACGAAGCTCGACCAGCACCTAGACGGTGCTCCACACTTTTAGTGTGGTACTATAGTAACGGAACGACCGCCACGGTGGGGCGACGGCTGTCGTGCTCCGATCAACGTGGCATGCGCCCTTCTCGGACGGGGCTCCTGGAAGTCGGGACGGCATGGCCTGAGGAGTGGCGGCTTCCGCTCTTTCGGAGCGACGACACGTCCGGGCCGCGTGTGCGCAACCGTCCTCCACCATGCAACCTGACGACCTTTCAGCTAGCAAGGGACGATGAAAGAAGTAGGGAGGGGGGTTCCACCAACGTGGTGTCCTGAGTTCGTCATTGGGGTTTACATGGTTTTGAGCGCGATATTTTGCGGGCATACAGATTTGGGCTGTAGACGTTGCCACCCTAAAATACACCCCAATTCCTTCAGCGTTTCGAGGAAGTTTCACGGAACTGCTGACCTCGCCAGGTTGCCCAAAGTCCTCAGTTTGATCGTAGCCGCTTGAATTGGGGCCACTCCCCTCTACGTCGTTTTGTGACGCAGCATCTTTTCCTGCCAGACAGTTGGAGGCTATAGGGCCTAAGGGCTTGGGGGAAGAATATGCTGCGGCTTCGCGCTGACATTTGCAAGAAAGTGCGGCTTCCTCCGGAAAGTGTATCCAACGCCTACTCATGAGGAAGACGTCAACCCTGGCCAGGGGAAGTTGGCCTCTCTACGTTCTACAAGACACAATCTAGCTCCCTACAGTCCCACAGTTCCCCATGCTGATTTTACGCCAGGATTCTGTCCATCGTAAACCCCAAAGAGTCACTATATTAGGTATATTATATCATATTATATTGTATTTTAATATCTTATCAGCCTACACCCAGCTTCTCTTTCTCCGAGAGCCGAGGTCCAACGGAAGGTAGGCCTGGTGGTGAGCTTGACAGCCGGAAGACGTCTGCGACGATGCTGGAGACCGGGGAGTTGTTCGATGTGTAGGTTGATCTGAGTTTTGGGGTGAGAGTTTCGGGTCTGCGGCTACGTGGATTAAGTGGGGTCGGCTTTAACGGTTTGGGTGATGTAGATCCGTGCACCTCGAGCTCTAGGGGCACGCACAGCCGCTTGCCGAAGTACGTTTCCCAACCAAGCTTGTGTCACTCAAAAATTCCTTAGTCTGTTTGATTTCGGGGCTCCGTTGTACGAGGTCTTTATAAGAAGAGTTTCAGGGTTTTGGGTTCAGGGTCCAACCCCTTAGTGTCAGTTATAGTCAGTGTGACAAACCTCGAAAAAGCACAGACATCAAATCCTGATAAAATCTCCAGCCACTGAATCGTTAAAGCTTCATCTATAGATCCTACACCTCTCAACCTCACACCCAAAAATCTCTAAAGCAAACCGCCCAAGCCCAAAACCCTTAAAAATCATAATCCTATACCCGGTGAATCCAGACTCAAAGCCGCAGGAAAGTTGCGCTTCGATGGTCCCGGAGAAGGTCTTAGCTGAGGCGCCGTCGCAGGTTCGGGAGATGTATCGTGGACATTCGTGGACCAAGGTAAACAAGCAGCGCGGTAGGGTGTTACGTTATGGGTTTAGGGTTGACGGTTTGTGTTTTGAGGCAGCTGTTATTCGGATTTTAGGTGCTTGAGAGTATTGGGTCTTTACTGTTGCAGGTTTATGGCAAACCGCTACTGTTGACCACACCTTCTCCGTTGCCCCGGATCTTCCAAGCCGGGTGTTCACCTTCGAATCGATGTGCACATACCCAATTGCAAGATCGGGAGGGCAGTGCGGAGACGCAGATGGTTTCTGATTTCGCCCATCGGGCACCCGGCAGAAACTACAGCCATAAACCCAGAAGACTCTAGGATCCCAAACCCCCGGCCCTTGTGCCTGCAACCCGGCTAATTCAGACCGTAAGGCATCCAATCGCTTTGAATTTGGGCTTTAGGGTTGGGGGTGAGTAGCAACTTGGAGGCCCTGCGCGATACCCTGGAAGGCCACTATGCAAGCTCCTAAGCGTCTGCGAATTGTAACATCCCCTATCTGTAATGCTCTCATGGCCCATGGCTATGCGCTGGAGGAGCTTAAGCTTCAAGGTTTGAAAGTTTAGAGCGTTTCGGCCCCAGGGTTTCGGGTGCGCCAGGGCCTGACCAAGTTCGGAAGGCTGAAATTTTCAAGTTGAGGTTTTCAGTTCAGTCTCAATATCTGGAGTGCAAGTTTAGTCACGCGTTTAGAGCTGCGGTCCAGAGGAATTATATAGAGCTTGGGTGCTGGACTTTACAGGCTTAGGCGGCGTATGGAGGTGTCTTCAGAGTTCAAGACATGAGGCATCTAAGTCACAGAGCACGAAAGGTTCAGGCTTAATGAGGCTTAATGGGTATAGGAGACTCATACTCAGTTACATATTCTTCTCTAACAACGCTTATTTGATTCGAGGACAATCCTATAGACTGCTAGACCTTCATCTTTCCTGGGCCAATCCTTATCATCTCGGCCTCTCCAGTTGCTGCCCCTAGACCTCTTGCCAAAGATTAGCTAGTACTCACCCCCGCGCTCTGCTTGACCAGTTGGGGTGGATTTGAGAAGGAGTTTTTGCCTAAACCCAGATGCGAAAAGTTGTGGCCAGGCCTTCCACCAGCTAGCGACCTGCCACTTTCACGCAGGAGGCGCAATGCAGTGTTGCTTGAGTTTGGGGCTTTTTCGAGCCTCCTAAACCATGCATCTCCACACCCTAAATTCCAAGCACCACGATTTAAGCTCAGTCAGGGTTTTCAGATCGTAGCTTCGTTCTTACAAAGTGTTCAAAAGGGCTTTTCAAAGCCTCGGGCCTGGAGGCCATGATGGCTCGCGTCGCAAAAGTCTGTGCCAGAAAACAAGGGACGAACATGAGGGACCCTACTCTAGATGAACGAAGGAGCCGTGAGGACAAAAGGTACCCCTGATGTGCAGAAACTTCCATAACATTCCTACTCGAACATACCAAAAGACACCATAGAGCCGGTAATCACAGAAAGCCCTAAGTCACGTATCAGCACAATTGGAGAGGCACCCATTTCACGGTGGAGAAAGTTCACAATCCCCAAACATCCGAACCATTGCGGCCCGCCCACCGTTCGGACACCTTTCGAAGGTTACGGATGATTTTCGATGTTTCTGTAGGGCGCTGCTTCAGGGGTCAGAGGCTTGGTATTTAGGAACTTTCGGGTCGCAGGGTGCAGAGAGCTAGAACAAACGTGGTCGGCTTGTTGTCTTCAGTTGCATCGTGTCTTAACGCTCGCACACACCTGCAGGACGGCGTTGTACAAAGGTTGTGTTCAGGGTTCTACAAGGTTTCGAAGTAGTATTGACCGTTGCTTTGCCGTGCGGGATGGGGATGGGTCAAGGAACTGTGCCTCCTCAACCGCCTCAACCATGAGTTGCAATTCCCCGCCGGACTCTCCAAACCCTTAAGTAAGCTTCAGAAAGCCGGAAAGCCCCAAGAAAAGCCTTGGAATAATTCATTAGCCACGGCACCCTGAGACCTTTAGAGCCATCTCGGCCTGCGATGGCTCTGAGCATACTGTCTAGCGCCAAGGGCTGATTTTCTAACAGTTCGCTACAGCAAAACTACTGTGTCGGGTCTTGGCTTCATTTTTCGCAAGGGGTGTCAGAGTCAAGTTACTTAGGTCGGGTGGATCTTCATACTTAGCGGTCACGCGACATCTCGCAATCAATATTTCAGGCCCAGACCTGAAATCTGATGGATACTCCACTGGGGCAAGCGCTTGCCTCCTGTTCCACGTCGGCACAGTGGTCTACCCTTGATGCCGTTCTGCGCAAGGCCCGGGCTCCGTTTTGAAGACGTAGTGGGGGATTCAGGGTGCCCTCCATATGCGTTGAGTCAAGGCTGGCGCTATGTGCTTAGTACCTTCCCGGACCTCTTGACAATAAGCCTGAACCATAAATCCCAATTCCTTGTTTCCATCTCCGTCTGCAGTTGGGGGTATAGGGCTTGTGGCCAGGGTTTGGGTTCGGGGCATTAGGGTTCGGTGACCTTGCGGTCAGTGGAGACGCAGAGCAAAGCTGCTGTGGGACCTTCGGGATCTTGCATTCCAGATTAGGATTTGTGGGTTGTAGGTTGCTTAGTACTGTACAGGGTGGATCCACGATCTGTCGGTTTTGAGTCGAGTAGTGAATTGGACAGGTTTCGATCGATTGGACCGCAGGTAATTACAGTACATTCTGCAACGGAACTATCCTGAAGCTTAATTCGGGGCTTTGGCCAAGCCGCAAAGCAAACATATTGATGCCCGAACCCTTGAACTCCAGAACTAGCACATGCTACATGCCGCATCCCGAAAGTTAAGTTTCAAATCCCGTCCTCACTCCCCGTCAGCAAATCAGGAGTCGCGGCGGCAAATGCTGCAGAGCACTGACGAACAATACCCCTCTTCCAGTTTCATGAGTATACTATAAGTGTCGTTGTTCGAACCCTTAGTGCCTGACGTGTGGCCTCCATGAATCTAAAGAAGCAGCTGGACCACCACCCTAGCAAAATGCTTGACTGGTGTTCGTAACATCCTGCACGTGCAGAAGCCCCAGACCCTGCCGTGTTACAGCAGCTGTACTAGCTGTAGTATCTGCCTAAACCAAAATCCCTGAATCACTCCAAGATTTGAGGGCTCTTGGGGGGAGGTCAATGCCAAATGCGGGGCCAATGCTGTGAATGCCCGAGACTTCGACCAGCACCCTGGTCGCCAGTGAGAAAGTTTACCGAGCTTTCCCGTTGCAAGTGTCACAGCTTGAGGGGTTTAGGGCGGGGGTCTGCATGTATCATAACAGGAGGCAGTTAATTAAGTTTCTGCGGCGGGTGTAGCGTGTGCCCGGCGGAAGCTGCTGCTGCGGTTTTTGCCGCATCCTTTTCCCTGTCTTGTGATCGGTAGGTCTCGGCTGCTTTGAACAAAGGTCTGTTGATCTCATCTTTATCGAGGGTGATGAGTGGAGGGTTCCAGACACCCCCCACCCGCCTCCCCCTCTGAAACCTTGTCTGGACCGGACGAGGTCACTGCAAGCCCCGCACACCCAACACCCCAAGCCCCCCAAACCGGCCAAAACACAGAGCAGTCCTCAATACTGCCCAGTTCTTGAACGCCAGTTGGGCTCATTCTGCTTAGAACCACCTCACAGTGGATGTCATAATGAGGTTAGAAGTTAGAAGTCCGCGTATGAACATAGTCGGCTACTCCGTTTGGGTGTGGACGGATGCCAAGTTGCAAGGGCATGCCTTGACCCCGAGCCTGTCGCACCTTGTGAGATACATTTCTGAAGCCTTGAAAATCTCCCTAAACCCTGTAAACCCTCAAGTCTAGAAGGTTTCTCCTGTCTGTTGGAAGCGAGCAGCTGCGGCTGCATGGCGTGTGGCGCCACAGTGTTCCGACCCATAGATGGGCTTGCTGTGGGCTTAGACGGATTTCAGGGTTTGAGGTTCAGGTTTGGGGGAAGCCTAAAACCCATCTCTGAAAACCATCTCTTACCACGCTCTGAAAGTCTGAACCTAGGCAACCGTTTAAGACTGACTGGCTCTACAATCGAGATACTAGTATGACCTCGGCCACCACCACCACCACCACCACCACCACCACCACGACTACCACTACTACTACTACTACTACTACTACGACGACTACGACTACGACTACGACTACGACTACGACTACGACTACGACTACGACTACGACTACTACTACTGCTACTGCTACTGCTACTGCTACTGCTACTGCTACTGCGACTGCTACTGCTACTGCTACTGCTACTGCTACTGCTACTACTGCTACTGCTACTGCTACTGCTGCGACTACTACTACTCCAACATCTACTGCTACTGCTATCTGCTCCTGCTGCTACTGCTCCTTGCTACTGCTACTGCGACTGCTGCTGCTGCCGCTGCTCCTGCCGCTGCCCTCTGCCACTGCTACCGCAGCTACTGCTACTGCTACGTACCCCCCAATTACTACCACTGCTGCTACAACTGCTGCTTGCGACGACGACTACTGACTACTACTGCTAGTCCTGCCGCTGCTGCTGCTGCTACTACAACTACTCCTTCCTACTACTACTACTACTGCTACTACTACTACTACGACTACGACTACGACTACGACTACGACTACTCCTACTACTCCTACTACTCCTACTACTCCTACTACTCCTGCTCCTGCTCCTGCTTCTACTCCTACTCCTACTATTATTATTATTAATAT